AGTTTTACTTCTAGGAGCTCACCAGGCTCTCACAGCGAATATCAGAGAAAAATCTCCTGCTTTTGGCAAGGGGTAGTAGAAAAAAGACCATTTTGAAATACAGCAGAGCACTCTCTTCTTCTTAACAAAGACTGCCTCAGGAGAAATTATTTTACTGGAGCTTAATCTACTAAGGTTTTATCAGAACCTAACAGAGAGGGAAGCAGGGAAATACCCAATTCCAGCCCCTTCTAGCCATCCTGTTGCACCTAAGCAGGAGAAAAAACCTGAGAAGAACTTGTGAAGTTCACAGCCCAGAGGCACAGGTTCATAAAAGACTGACACCTAGTGAGAGGATTATAGAATACTTATCACCACACTACTAAAAGCCTATTTACGGCGGTTCTTATTACTCAGGACATCAGGTCCAGCTATTAAGAAATGATTACAAGGCATACTAAAAGCCAAAAACACAGCTGAAGAAATAGAACAAGCATCAGAAACCAGACATGGCAGGGATGTTGGAATTATCAAATTGGGAATTTAGAACAACTATGATTAATATGTTAAAAATTATAATGGATAAAGTAAATAGCATGTAAGAACAGATAGGTAATGTAAGCATAAAGAAAAATTCTTAAAAAGTACCAAAAAGAATTGCTAGAGATCAAAAACACTGTAACAGAAATCAAGAATGCCTTTGATTGACTTATTAGTAGACTGGACATAGCTGAAGAAAAATCCCTGAGCCTGAGTATATTTCAATAGAAACCTCTAAAATTGAAAAGCCAAAATAAAAAAGACAAAACAAAAAAACAACAACAACACAGGGTGCTTGGGTGGCTCAGTCGGTTAAGCCTCTGGCTTCAGCTCAGGTCAGGATCCCAGGGTCCTGGGATCAAGCCCAGGTTCTGGCTCCCTGCTCAGCGGGGAGTCTGCTTAGCCCTCTCCCTCTGCCCCTCCCCCACCTCATGCTCACACATGTGCTCTCTCTCAAATAAATAAAATCTTTAAAAACAAACAAATAGTAACAACAAAAAAACCCTGGAATATTTAAGAACCGTGGGACAATAAAAGTTGTACTATACACATAATGGGAATACCAGAAGGAGAAGGGAGAAAGGAACAGAAGAAATATTTGAAATGACTCAGGAGTCCTTCAAATTGATGTCAGATACCAAACCACAAACCAGGAAGCTCAGAGAACACCAACCATGATAAATGCCAAAAAATGACACCGAGGAATGTTGTATTCCAACTACAGAAAATCAAAGATAAAGAAAAAATTCTGAAAAAAGCCAGAAAAAAAAAGACACATTACTTATATGGGGGTAAAGATAAGAATTACATCTGACTTTTCCTCAGAAACCATTCAAACAAGAAGAAACTGGGCTGCTATATTTAAAGTGCTGAGAGAAAAAACCAACTTAGAATTCTGTATCATGTGAAATTATCCTTTAACAGTGAAGAAGAAATAAAGATTTTCTCAAACAAAAATTGAGGGACTTTGTATAAAAGTTCTTTAGAGGGGACAAAAAAAATATAGATCAGAAACTTGCATTTCTGATGCAAGTTTTCTTGCATTTTCTTTATGTAAAGAAAAAAGAGCATCAAAAAAAGAAAAGTGAAGATAAAATAGAAACTTTCCTTTTTCTTATTCTTAACTGATCTAACATATAAGCTTTGTTCAAAATAGTAATAGCAACAATGTATTCAACTATGTATAATTATGAATGTGTATATGCTTGTGTATATGTGACATGAATGACAGAAAGGATTCAGGGGTTGGGAGGGAGGAATTACAATTATTTTATTATAAGGTACTGACACTACCCAGGAAGTGGCTTAATACTATTTGAAAGAGGTCCTGGATTAGTCATAAATGTATATTATAAACTCTAGGGCAACCAAAAAGTGTAAAAAAAAGAATTATAACTGATATCCTAAAAAAGGAGAGAAAATGCAATAATATAAAAGCTCAATTAAAACCACAAAAGGCATAGAGAGAATGGAAGTAAAAACACACAAAAAAAAACAAAGGCAACAAATAGAAAATAGTAATAAATATAGTAGATATCAATCCAACTTTATCAATTATCACTTTGAATGTTAATGATATAAGTGTACCAATCAACAGATAGAAATTGTCAAAGTGGATCAGAAAAGAAGACCCAACCACATGTTACCTAAAAGAAACCAACCTTAAAAATGAATACACCTATACATTAAAAGTAAATGAATGGAGTAAGATATTCTACATTAAAACTAATTAAAAGAAAGTGGGAGCAGCTATACTAATTCCAAACAGAGCAGACTTTACAATAAGAAAAGTTATCAGGGGTAGAGAGTGGTATTACATAATAATAAAGGAGTCCATTCTACATGACATAATCCTTAATGTGCATGCATGCATCTAACAAGAGAGCATCAATAAAATTGATATATCTCTAGCCAGCCTGAGGAAAAGAGAGGACATGAATTACAAATATCTGAAATGAAAGAAGAGGACGTCACTACAGATCCCATGGACATTAAGCAGATAATAAAGGAATAATAAAAAACCCTTTGCCCATAAATTTCACAATTTGATGAACCAATTCCTTGAAGGACACACTCTTGCCAAAACTCACATAAAAAGAAACAATCTGAATAGGACTATCTCTATTAAATTTAATTGATAATTAATAATCTTCCAAATCAGAAAGCACAAGGCCCAGATGGGGTCACCAGTGAATTATACCAAAGAAAATATACCAGTTCTCTAGAATCTCTGCCAAAAGATACAGCAGAGGGAACACTTCCAAACTCATTTGTTGAGGCATTATGCTAACACCAAACCAGAAAAAGGTATTATAAGAAAACTACACACAATATCTTTCATGAACACAGATCCTCAAAAAAAAAATTAGCAAATCAAATCCAACAGTGTATAAAAATTATACACCCTGACCAAGTGGGATTTACCGCAGGTATGTAAAGCTGGTTCAAAATTTGAAAATCAATTAATATAATTCATCATATCAACAGGCTAAAGAAAAAAAACTACAAGATCATATCAACAGACCCAGAAAAAGCAACTGACAAAATTTAACACCTATTCAAGATCTTAAAAAAACTCTCAGTAAACCATGAATAGAGGGAACATCCTTAACTTGATAAAGAATAGCCTACCAAAAGCCCATGGCTAAAATCACACTTAATGATGAGAAACTTGAAGCTTTCCCACTAAGATCAGGAACAGAGCAATGATGTCCCATCTCACCACTCGTGTGATGAGACAACTCAATAGGGGACAGGCTAGTTATCACAAAGGAGCACGTGGAAACTTCTTAGAATTATGAAAATGTTGTATAACTCAATTGTGGTGGCTATAGAGTTTTACACACGTGTCAAATGTAGAACTCAAAGAACCGTACATTCAAAACAGGTGTATTTTATTGCATGTAAGTTATACCTCAACAAAAATTAAATAAACAAAAAGTAGCCAGAGACAAGATATGTTCAGCACATATTACTAAGGATTACTCTACAAAATACATAAATTTTGCCAACAAATCAATAAGAAAACAACTACCAAGTGGTGATAAAGATTTATACAGGTTATTGATAGAAGAAAAATCCAAATGACTATTAAACATGAAAATATTCTTAGCTCCACAAATAATAAGGGAAGTACAAATTAAAATAAATAGTATATCACACCCATTAGAAGAGCAAAACCAGAAATTTTGATAAACTGAAAACTAATAAGGATATGAGGAAAAGTAAATACTCCTACACAGCAGTATGAATGGCTACATTTGCTTCAGAGAGCAATTTAGCACTATCTGATAAAGTCAGCAAAATATATACTCTGTAACACAACAATTCTACTTTTAGAATATCCTACAACAAATCTTGCACATATACACAATTAGAAAACACGTACTAGAACATATGTTTTGGAACTATTTATATTTAAAGCCTGGAAACGATATCCATGAGGAGGGAAATGTATAATCTTGGAATTCATAAAATGGTTAAAATTAAAGAAAAAATATACATATACACAGCATTCAAAAATATAACATTGAGGAAAAAGTTATGGAGTGTTTTGTTCAGTATAAGAGCATTTATGTAGATTTACAAAAACACATAAAACAATCCTTAAAAATAAGGAACAATGAAAACACATTACATTCATGATGATGATCCTTGCGGGAATGGGAAAGGAGCAAACTCAACTGGGAAGCAAAACAAAGATGACTGACTGTATTTATAATGCTTTAACATACCTGAAGCAAAAATTAGAATAGAGTAGCATTTATTTATTCTAGGTGGTTGATCACACCTTTGCTTATTTTCTAATTTTCAACATTTCAAAATCAAAAATATAGTAATTTTTAAAGCTATAAAATAAGAAAAGTCTAAGAAGCACTAATCTTTAACAAATGTGCTGGATTCTGTGATAACTTAAAAGTAGTGCATACCATGACATCAAATTAGCATTTATCTTAACAGTTCAAAAATTGAACTTACTAATTTTTTGTCATTGTTCCAATTTCTAGAATCTGCAGACTACCATAAAATCCATACTCTTTTAGGCTGAGCTATGGAAGATATTCATAGACCTCTGACTATGTGACTAAATAAATCTTGCTCTATTAATGTAACTCCAAGGTCACTGGTCTGCTCATAACTTTCAGTGCTCCTTCATGAGACCAGTATGCCCATTCACAGGGTCTCCAAAGCCAACAGACCACCTCCATTTAGAACACATTTTGCTCGTTCCCATTTGGCTACTCTAATTATGCTGGTCATTACTTCCACACTAAGATTTGTTTCTTTGACTTTATGTAAGCATAGTTTCTGGGGTCTTTAAAATTTAGGAGAGGAATTTTTGATACTCTGCTCAACTATAAGGACACATACAATCAATAAACCTTAAAGGTTCCCTCCTTTTTGTAACATCATTGTACTTACTATTTTTATCTGATACAAACAGATCATTCTACAAATATTTTTCCCCAAGTGGTACTCACCTCTGGATAAAGGTGGAAGCGTTTCACTGTATTAATTACAAGGGGATATTCAGTGAGCCTGTCATTCATTATCATCCACAGTCCTTCCAAAAATGAAGGTGCTTCAATAATGGTCTTGAAGTAGGAATAATAAAGTCCCTTAAAAAGGCACAAATTGTTGATGTAATTAAATATGAACATTTTTAGAACAATTTCTTCCAAATACAAAGAAAAGGTCAATAATAAGACTTCCTAATTTCTCCTTGCTACTGCATTCTTGGGCTCAAAAAAAGGCATGCCTTTTCAGGTTATCACTGTGCTATACTTTCATATTTTCTGTATGTTTGAAAAAGAGTGGGAGGGGTGCTTAAATGCTTTAAGGAGTTTTTCTGACCATGGCTTAAAACATGAATACAATATATTTTTAATTCCAGCATGCCTGATTTTGCCTGATTTTGCCACATTACGAGAGATGCCTAGAGGTTGAGATCTGTTGAATTCTGGCATAAATAAAGATGCCTTCATGTCCTTGTGCAACTTTGTATACAGATAATTACTTTTTTTCCACCTCTTAAGAAATAACATGCAATGATCATAAGCAAAAATGAGACAGAACTTAATGCTTGCAACCTACTTCCTAGCTCCATCTAACAGCTCTGCACATGTCAAATGTTATGTCAAAATAAATGTCAATTGACTACTGTTGTTCATGACACAAATGCAGTCCTGAAAAAGGGATTAACTTAGTGTATTAGTCCAGCACAGGAAATAATGACTTTATTAGGCCAGCAAAAGTGCTGTTTAGTTTAAATTCAGAGATTAACAAAAGCATGTGGTTTCATATTACTTTCTTCATCAATTTCCTGCTTTTCTTCCTAAAATCTAAAAGCAAATAAAGGGCCACACTGTTTGTAATACATGCTCCCAAAAACATTAGAAACAATCTTTAGCTCTACACTCATTCATGCCTCTACAAGGACTTGGTTTTAACAAATGAAGCAATGCCAGTGGCTACTAAGCTGACGTTCTGTTTTAGCTGATGTCTGAAAGAGCTTTTCCTCATATTTTTGATTGGTAAATATGAGTGCACATTAAGGATTGTTCCTTTCGGCTTAGAAGGACAAGACAATACTACAGCGAAAGGATATTTAATATGTAGAAGTCTACATTTAGAGAAATAGGAAATACACAAATACACTTTTATCAATAACATCTACTGTTTTTTGTGCCAGGTACTGTGTTAATGTGCTTCATTCATTATCTCCCTTCATAGTCAATAAAATCCTGTAAAGCTAGAATTATTTCTAGACAACAGATGAGATTACTGAGAATCAGAGAGGTTAACTGACTAGCCATCACACAAGGAAGCACAGACCTGCTATCTG